CAGACGTGTGCTCTTCCGATCTCCCATTGCTTATAATTTTAGTTAATTTTTAAGTTCTACTAGTTATTTCCAAAATATAAATTTTAGTTTATTAATATTTTTCCTAAATTACATTTTTTATATTTTCAAACGCCTATAGTTTTTTATAATATTTGACACATTAGAGAATTAGTTTATATAAGTCTCAATAATCTTAATGGATGCGACGGTTGCAGTAGTGTGCCCAAAAGTGAATGGAAATTTATAAATTTATGATTTATTCTATTTCGCATAATTTATCTTTATTTAAGGATGTTTGCGTCGTACAATATCAGCTAAAAAAGCTATCAATATTTTAAATTTACAGATTTCTTATGTTTGTATCGTCTAAAAATGAAATGATTATATGTAAGATGGAATATACTCTTAGATTCTGCATTCGGCAAGCGCTATTAACGCTAGATAGGTAGATAAAATGGCACAAAAACGCTGATAACAAACGAACAGTAGCTTGCTCAAAGTTCCAAACGCAATCTTATTATTTAGCAGGAAAAAATAAATCTTATTAAAGCGAATCAAATATTAAATATTTATGATTCATATTATAATTATTTTGTTATTGAAATTTTGACTAATCTTATTCTATAACATTCTAATTTAGTATAAATATAAACAATGCTTTTAAAATTAGTTTTTAACTTGAGTTAATTTAATCTTAACTCAACTTTAACTAAGATTCTTTTTTTGTTTATGCAACTTTTAACATAACTAAATTAATTTTATAAGCTATTAACTTAATGAGTTAAAAAAATAACTTATCCGAAAATATTAAATAAAATTAACTGACCTTGTAAATCTCAGGAAGTCATCTGAGTCTCGATTGATGCTTATCCTGTCATAATACTGTCATCATGTTTCTATATTTAGTTTTACTAAAAGTTTATTATTACATGTAATACAGAGTTGTAACGATGAATTTTTTACATAGCCTATGTTGCATGATAAATGCAGCACATGCATGTATGTGTTTTCTTCTGTAGTTGGTGTCATCTTACTGAACCTTTATGCTTGTGTCGTTCAATTCTATTTATAGTAACGCTTTTGTAACTTTTGAGATTATTTCGTTTTTCTGGTTGTAACTGTTTATGTTTAGAGAATTAAAGTATTTAAAATATTCAGGAAATGTTATCTCTCTCCTTTTACCTATCTGTTATACCGTATTTTTGTCTAATATCAATAAGAATACAATATTTACTATTTATCATTCATTTGCGTATTATGCAATATGATTCCTAAATAAATACAAAAAATTAAAAGGATATTCTTGGCTTTTTTGGAAAAGGATCTTGTAAACATATATCCTAAATTGCTTTGTTTTTAAAATACAGTATTACTCATGCTCATGTCCTTAGTAAATATGAAAATGTTTTATCGGCACTGGAAAATGGATCTTAATATCAAACATGTGCACATATCAAATTTAAATAAAATATCTGTCAACATTTTCTAGATTTTAGAATTTTTGAATTTTTCATATTTTTTTCCTAATTTTAGTATTTTAATAACAAAACGAGATATATTTTAGCACCTTTTTTCTTTAAAATAAGCCAAGGGATTTCTCTTTCTATTCTTTATATTTCTTGTTACTTAAGAATTATTCCGTATAGAGAGTTTAATAATTACAGTATTAAAGTGTTATATTTACGTAAGATCCATATTTAACCTACGATTGTCACAAGAGGTCTGAACGATCCGGTCTTCAATCAACACAGTTGCTTTGCAAAAAAATATGCAATACTTACATATTTTTTTTATTCGTCTTATTATTGTGTGCATAAAAAAAAGTATTACAGTGCAATTATGAAAAAATTAATAGTTTCCGAGAATATTTCATATTTTATATTGAAATATGGCATGATATGGTATTAAATATTTTATAAAATATTGATTTTCCGATAACTTTACCAGTACTTTTATATGCAGAATAATTAGAGGAATCATATTATTAAAAAAAAAATCATATTCCATCTAAAATAATGTAGGTGACTTTTATATCCTTTTAGCTTTATTACCTGAAAAAAAAAACAACTTGAAATGTGTTTCCCTCAAATTCTATAACTTTTGTCTGAAACATTTTTTCTAAAATCCCGTAATTTCCAAATATTTGATTGTCAAATATAAAATTGGACACTCTGTATATGATTACATATACATATATATACATATTATAAATGAGGAATAAATGAGGGCGAAGAATCAGAAAAAATTTACAATATTTCATTTTTTTAACTTTTAATTACCATTTTAAACTAAAGAAATTATTACACTTAGACTGATTTTTGTATAATAAATTCAATTTTTCTGTATAAATATACTTTTTTTCTATCTATACATTGTTACTCTTCAATATGTAAAATAAATACTATTTTTTTTAAGGTTTACTAGAAAATTTTTATTAAAGTAGCACAATTCAAAAACATCAAAAATTAAAAAATGATAAACTTGATTTTTTACGCAAAACGTATTTTTTCAGTACTTACTTTCTTTAAGAATTTTTTTAAACTTAAAGTCACTTTAACTCTTAATTCTTTACAACCAGAATACATTCTACAATGTTTAAACTATAATATCTCAGAATTTTTCCGAATCGAATTAAACTATAAATTTTTAAACGGCAGCTATTTGAGAATTGATCAGATTAAACTGACCTTATTGACAACCATGATTGAAAAAAGAAATATGAAAACAGAAGGTTTATAATATCTTTATTTTAAGGAAACTGTTTCATTTATGTTATTAAATATATTAAATCTTTACTTGGCACAGGTTTTTAGTTATAAAAATATCCTTTAATTTTTTATACAGATGGAAGTTTTGCCTGGAAAACAGAAGGATACAGTTATCTATATATATGATGGTTATGTGTATTACGCTGACAGTCGATATGACAATATCTTTCGATGCAATACACGTCGAACGACCAGATGTCGTGGTTCAGCCATGCTTCAGGATAATAATGTTCAAGTTTTACAAGAACATAATCATCAAAAAACACCATTTATCAAACTACAAATTGAAATGAAAGACGAAATGCTAAGGCTTTCTCGTGAAACTTGTATTGGATTTAAAGAAATCTTTGATTCAGTTTGTAGACGGTATGATTAATTTATTTATTTTATATAATATTTATATTGCACAATTTTTACTATAATAATTTATCATAATATTATAAAAATGTAAAGACTTTTCACTACGCAAATAAATGTATCTTTGTAAGAACAATTAAAATAACATATTTAATAAATTCTTAATATTTTTAATGAACAATATTAATTTGAACTAGACTGCAAATGTGACACAAATAGTAAAAATAAATTGAGAACGCCTTGTTCGATCACGGCTGGATCTTATGTCCAATAAATTCTATATGAATTTTTAAATTCATTATTTAATCATTTCAACTGTGCGCCGAATCAATGTTAGGCTTGCAATGCATTTGCAATTATTAGCAGAAATTGAAGTAGCGAGATCACAATTGATCTTTAATTCTTAAATCGATACTTATAAGCATCTTAAAATACTGCAAAAAACTTATTGCAAAAAATATTACTTCAGCTAGCTCACGTTTAATAAATTTTTAGTTAGAATATACTTGCAGAATATCTATCTTTCTGTTTTACTAAAATAATATCATAAAACTGTTTTATTTCTAATAAAAGACTGTTTTAAGACCAATAAATAATCAATCTAGTTTACTAAAAAATGAAAATGAAAAAATTCACACGGAAATATTATTAAAAACTAATTGTCCTGCTTTGACCATATATGGCCTTCGCTTATTTGTGTTAAATTTTTTTTAGTCGATTCACACATTGTCTAATAAAAGACATTAAAGTTTTAATTTTTTTACAATTCTAAAAATAATTTAATATACATTTTTTATCTTCTAAAAATCTTATTCAATGTTTATGGCAATAAATAAGATTGTTCATTTTGTACGTTTCTTCAACTCTTTGAAGGTTTCTCTTCATAATTTTTGGTACTTGCAATATGTATTTTTTTATTCCAGCAACCCAAATGTAGCACAATATTTGAGCTTTCCCTCTATAAGGTGTGGCATGCATCGTGAACGTGTAAAAAGCCGACCACCCGTACATTAACATCATTACGTGATATTTTAGAAAATTGTGATATAATAAAGAATGTATATAAAGAAAGTTTAACTACAAGTGATGGGAAAACTGCAATAATTTTATCAACTAATTACCTATTGGAATCTTTATCATCCGCTACTGAAATTTATGTAGATGGGACATTTTCTGTAAGCACAACTGTTTTTTCTGTATAAAATGTTAACAAAATATAATAGTAAAATTGTAGCTTATGACTTTGCCACGAAATGGATTTGGTTTATAATTGCTTTACTCATACACATCGACACATCCCCATTCCTTTCTACTTCTTTTCTAATTCTTCCTTTTACACTTTTTCTTTTTTATTTCTCTTGCGCTATCTACTTTTTCAAGCTAGATCTCTATTCTTGCTAAGTTTATCCGAAACAATATCAAAGATATCATAAATATCTTCTTCACATATATCATTGAAGGTTCCTACCTAGTTAGCCACGAATTCCGCGTTGACGACGCGACACTATATCGCGGTAGAAATTAGAAGCTTATTTGTCGTACTCGGCTCGTTCTATAATACGTCATATTTCGGTGTTATAATTAAGTCGTGATAATTTTACAAAATATGTTGTATGTTGATATCGTAAGCAGTAAAAATTTATCAATCACAGTCGAATGTGAAGAGAATAACGAATCTACTGTGAAAAGTGTTGACGAGGAATTTTGTCTTGTGTGCCATTTCGTTATTATGTGCTTAAT